TAATCATCTCGTTATGGGCGCATTGTGCGTCTACGGTAAAACCGAACCGCTCCCATGGCCCTAGCGCTTTTCGATGCCGCCCCTTGGCGTCGCAGTGCCGCCTGAAGCATCGTCGATGATTACACGGGACGCAGATGAGGCCGCGGCGCACGGTCCTAATCAGCTGGTGCATTGTGAGCCCGCGAAATTACAGGAGACGTGGTTGGATCACGAACGACTATGAGCTAACGACGAAGCACGAGGAAGCGTGTGCAGGTAATTAGTAGCGACGATGAGGTACCCTGGTAATTCTCAGCTACCGATATCCTCCTCTATGTGGACAGGTATGAAACATTCCGCTGAATGACGTGAAAAGACAGCGAATCGTTGTTCGTTTCACGACGACGTGTATGCAGATGGAGAAGGAACGTCATTGGGGATCGATGCGTGATTTATCATTCAACGTCAACGGGATGCCCTTTCCTTCTCCCTGTTGCGTGACGTAGATCTTAGTGATCTATACGAAGAAGGCATCGACTTATAAAACATTCCTGTCGTGGATAGAGCTGCACCAGGCTATGTGGATGACGTCGCGATTCTCTAGAGTTACCATCTGGAGAAATAGCTAGTTTATCGTTAGAATAATTTATAATAATTAATGGTGTTCGTCTATAAGTAAAAGTTACGACGTCATCGAATAGCATGCTGTACAATAGTATTTAGACTTGCGGCAAGTCAGTTAACTATTTTATTTGGTATAAAATTGTAAAATTGTAAAACAAGAACCTGTAACTTACGATTCCTAATTTGTCAAATTATTGTGCGAAATAACCCCGTAAGTAATTGGATGTTTGACTGCAAAGACAGCTAAACAGGCAGTATACTATCTTGACTGCTATTTTCTGCGTCCCTATGTAGCCATTTCATCCCTGAATGTGAGATTCCTCAGGAGAAATTCGACTCCTCACTTGAGCCTGGAATCGACGAACGATTAACTCGACTAATCCTTGTATCTGGGGTCGCGGTTCGATTGAAATAAAAAGGCGGAGCTCGCCCTTGGGCACTGGGTAAAGAGAAAGTCTATCCCGCAACAATCGGTGAAAGAAGTTTCGTTGCGAGGGAGATTCTAGGAATGAAAGGAGGCGCGGTAGATTTGTCCGATCAACGTGGTGCGTAAGCCGTGCTATTAAGGACGGCAAGTGGGTGCATCTGTCTGGGCAAACCTGGGCTTAGTTCCAAAATCCTACTGCAAACAGAGAGGCTGGTTACTCGATGACGAGTAACCCTCTATCCACGCCTCTTTCTAGGAACGAAACCGTTCGAATTTCAACCGCTGAGTGGCTGTTAGGTTAGAAACGATGCATGGGAATTGATGCTCTATTGTGAATGTGGAGAGATTAGGAATATGGTCGGCTTCGATAGATGAATTAAGTAGTATGTTGATAGTGTTGAATAAATCACGAATGGTTAACAGAAAATGAAATATACTTTTCCCTATAATTTGTATTTCGTTATAACTCCCACATTTCATTATTTCTATACAATAAAAAAGGCCTCCATAAGATCTTCCATTATTTCATCACCTTTATGTAATGAAAGGTCTAAAGGCTTTTAGTAAAGATACGTTGTACTTGCATTTTCAAGGTGGATCGTTATTGAGCTGGATTCGAGAAGATACTCGATCAGAGATACTGTTCAAGGGGAACAGATTTCAGGTTGAGAAGATTTTTTTAAGAAGCACGAGATTTGTTACTGGAAAGTGGGCATGTTACCGAGATAAAATCGAGGGCGTTGGTGCAAGGTTGGCGAACGCCGCTTGGACGGGGCGCCGATAACGAGGACGGATAGCTCGTAAAGTGGTAGACGTAGAGGCGGAGGTGAATTCGCGATCTGATTCCGGATAACGTCTGGTTTTGATAAGTAAATAGCGACGATGTAAGTTGTCGCGGATAGGTGAGCTTGGAACGAAGGATGCTGGGAGATCGGTTGACACTTCGTGGTCAACGTGTGAATGTATGGGTTCATGAAGTTTCTTTTCTATACATTGGATGAAGAATTTTTTTTGGGACTCCGAGCAGGTGCAACTCGTGATGTATTTTTATTGGAGATTAAATTTGAAGGATAAAGTCGAAACGTAAAGTAGGAGGATTAATTTATCAATATGTCGAAACGTGTAACATGGGTAAAGAGTATTTATACACACTCTTATCGTATTATTTTAATTATAAGGAGTAAATATTTTGATTAAAATATTTCATAATAACTAAATAGTTATTATAGACTGATAGTTTTAGTGCCAACTTCAAAGCTTAATATCTATGAAGTTAATTAATTTTGTATTTAACGATACAGTATAATACATACAAGAAAAATTCCAACTATAATATGCTTAAAGGCGAAGGAATATTTTGTACAATGTTCTACACAGGTTATCGGATAGTGATAACCAACGTTGAATAGGCGGTAGTATAATAACACGTCGACGTAGCCTTAACTAAAAGTAACGAGTCTCGCAAGGGGAAAAGGAAACATTAAGCTCACGTGTTTCGAACTCTAAAGCGGTTTTCAACCCCTGTTGAAGGGAAGGGGCCAAAGGCAAAGATGTTATTCTTCTTCCTTAACTCATACATATTTTGCGGCGAAGACGTTCCCTCCATAACCCCGCCACGAATTACAAATCATCTTGCACGATAATGCAAGGGGAATCCCCTTGTTCTTTGGAAACCATAAACCCTGCGGATCTCTCGAGTCAAGTATACAGCTGTTATACATCGACCACAGACTTTAAATTGCATCGATAATCCCCATGTTTCGAATACAAATTAATTCACTCATGATTTAAACAAAATTTTACGATGGAAATTATTAATCTCCTTTCTGAACATCTCGAACATTTGCACATTCAAATCTTCCATGAAATCATTATAAACAGTCAAAGGTACTTTACAAACAACTGCAGTATCTTCATCTCCTTAATCTTTCGGCGTTATTGCCATCAACTGGCATCGGTACACCTTTTCTCAGCTCACTTTTACCGGGTTGGTTCGACGTGTCTTGGTAATTGGAGGAACTCTGCTGGAAATAGGTTTGTTAAAGTTCAGCTGGGGGTGGGGGAGGGGGCTTGGAGAGATCGCCGTGGAGACCGCGGGGACGATAAAGTCTAGGCGCACACCGAGATCTCGTAGATTCTGTCTTGTCGTTCCTCGCCGATGCCCCTCTGCACCCCGCCCGCGTGGCGGGAGTTTAATTAGGCCCCGCTTCGAGATATCGCGAGATCAGCAGCTCGTTAGCATGTTTTAATTGGCGGCTGTCAGTGAGATCGTTGCTCGCGATAAGCGACTCCTCTCTAACCAGTCCTCCAGCTCGGTGACAAGACTCTACGTGTAGCCAGGCTGCTGCTTACTACTCGCGAGACACACGGCGGACAGCCGGTTAGGGGAAGCGTATACATCGTGCCATCCGAACCTGGGGGCATCTAGGAAGCTGGTGGAGTTTGTACGGCAACTTTTTGCCGCTTAATTCTGCGGCGAGATTACACTCGAACAGAGACGTTGCGACGTAAGTTTATCAATGTGGATGAGACAGGATACGAATTTTCTTTGATGTGCGACTTTTTCGAGATTTTTATTGTTTGAGAATGATGTGGACATGGAGACGTGATTAGTGGTTGGAGTAAATTATTAAGAGCAATACGTCTCGACGTAATATTTCATTTGTAAGTTTCTCTTTTAGGAAATCAGTCTTATCGAATTCTATTTTTTGATCTGGTTATAAAGAGGAATTCTTAAGATTTGACTAATTTCCTTTTTCATTACTATTTATTTTCTCATGTTCCAAATTTTTGTTGTATCGTGAAAATTCATTATGTACCTCTAATTTGTATAGTAGGTTTCTATTATTCGATAACGATGCGCTTACAAAGTTTCATACTTGTTTCAGCGAGGACATAACTTTAGATTTAATTAAGCTCAATTCAAAGATATGAAATTATTTAACCTGGATTTCTAAAATCAGTATCTTGAATGTGAGAATCGTGAGATCTTAGAAAGCACAAATTCCTCTCGAAGACGGGTATCGTCATGACTAAGTCGAGATAGGCGAAAAGGGGAGAAATCTGCTTTCATACATGGCGTTTTATGTTCCCTGACGATGACCAGCGCGGATAGAAACGTGACCAGCGGTGAGATTAACAAGGTGTCCCGGCCTCATTGCTCGCTATTGATCCAACGCGAACGTGTACTTTTTAACGAGGCCAGTTGGTAATGACGCTCCCGTAGAGTACACACGTGCCGAATGATGAAACACCTCTTCTCCCCTAGAGCGTCGTTTTTACCTTCTTTCAGCTCGGATTATTATTCTCTATATAAAAGATACGCTTTTCCCACCATAATCGTCTCGGATTCGAGGAAAGTTCCAACTTCAAAAAAACGAAACCAAAAGCATTTCTCTTAAACCGTAACGAGGAGACGTAAACTTCTTCTTTTTTTTAAGAAAAAAGACGAGGGAGGCTTCGAGAACTCGATGTTTCACTCCATATGAAATTTATAGATCAACGTAACAGTGAATTTGATCGATGATTTACCCGGTATAAATTATACTCCCCATCGCAATATATCGGAGTTATAAATCGTTCGACGATCGTACGTCTGTTTGTCGGTTCGAGTCTGTCTAGACATTTGACGTAAAAGTGATATGCTTGAAGTGAGACATGGAATATGTATAACAAAAAGTAAATATGATAGAATGTCTATGTGGGTGCAATTTCCTAGTTATAGCGAAACCTTCACAATCAGAAACAACGTTCAGTATCTAGATAGATAGAGAAATTTAAACGACATTTGACAAAATCCATATACGAAAATTGTCAATTCTAAAATTTCATACGCGAAAATTATAAACGAATTCAGGTTCATATTCAAATTCAAATTTAGATACAAATTCGCGCGTATACGAAATTTGCACTTACTGCGCAGCCGCGGGCGGAAAGGGAATCAGGCCCGCCGCCATATTGGTATTTCGCGCGGGAAAGCGTCTGCGCATAGTGTCACTTCCGTCGTGAGCACCGTGGTGACGAGTCGTATTATCCTGATTGTGGTAACGTATTAACTGCGTAATATTTCCATCGTTATTCTAATTATTTATACAGTAGTATTAACCTCGTGTACTCATTACGCGTTTACATAGTAATTTGTTAAACATTGTCATATAGGCGTATATATATTAATTGATCATATTTTGAAAGGTTAGTGTTACCGATACCGTGGATTATCATTTTTTGAGACAGCATTTGATTTCGATTATTGTTCCATTTCAATATACGTAATTTGGAGTGGTCGTGCACGTTATAAATTTTTCTTTTTCTTTTGTACAGATTAATAATTGTTGATTACGAGAATGACGACAGGAGTAGGCGTTAGAAATGTGAATGCCACGATGATTAATGGTCCATTCGACGATTCTTCAAACAAATATGGCGATGTATAATTAAGGTAGGTATATATCTACTTTTTATTGATAATGTAGCACACAATTGACATATATTCGATCAATATTTTATAGTATATGATTAATATTCGGAGTACTAAGATCAAAGTAAAAAAGATTAAAGAAATCATTTTTTTGTTGCGAATAAATTTATTAGAAATAAATTAAAGAAATAATTTAAAGTCGGTTCATTAGATTTTGTAAATTCATTAAAATCTAAATAAGAAATTGAAATAAGTGCCCTATTTTTATACATTTCGATCTTGGATTTTCCAACGTTATGATTTTTCATGTTAAAACACGATTGGACACGTTATGACGCAGTCACGCGCTGTTGTTACGTAGTGTTGTTATGCCCCCAGGCATGTTTAGCTGTCGTGTTTTGATTTGATGCAAGCATTCTCGACTATTTATCAGGCACGACATAGTTTATTCCTGATGTGTATATTTTGATTTCAAACACTTTCAAGTGATAGTTTACATTCATATTCTGTTTTGTTACAGATTTTACACAACTTCTCCACTTTCTGTTATTCTATGGAAAGAATCTAGCCAGGCTTACAAGAATGTAAATATCATTGCATTTTGTATCTGCCTCAATTAATTTTATCTTTTATATCTTGCTTTAATTGTTATTGTTATATGTTTAAAAATAAATTTTAATACTCCGTGGTTTTTTAAATAGATTTTTTACAAATTCTACTTTCTTCTTGGGGTTTGATGATTCTTGCGAGATGATAGTTACTATGATGACTTCCTCTGGAACATAGCACCGTCGATGACAACGTCCACCGCATCTAATCGTGAGTCGCATGCGTTTTTATTCCTCTGATCACTCAATCATGTCGTAGGATGAAAGGTCCGAAGCGACACGGGTGATTGGTTGCATTACATAGAATTTGTTGTCGGCATAGTAACCACGGGTATTTATTATACCTGTGAATAGTAACTTTTTTTTTTCTGTGTCTGATTTATTAGTTCAGGTAGGTCTTCTTGCACACCGCGTTTTTGTATAACAATAATAATATAGTTATTTATAAAATTAGAATATATTCGATATTTTCATATAAATAAAAATAATAAAGATTTCTTAGTTTTATCTTCTCTTTTATGATAATATTAAATAATTTCGATAGTTTAATTGAAATCTTTTCTATTATAAATTTCAATATTATTTGACATGTAAAGATATTAATGTTTCTTTTTGTGACATATTAAATATCGTACATAATCTATTAAATAAATGTGCAAGTAGAAATCTCGCGACCGGCAGATTTTGGAATCAAAGCAACAAAGTATGAACGCTGCTCCCGTATCTTCGAAAATGTGCTTTGATAAAGGAATCTCCTGAGGTTATTTCAATTAATATTTAATTTTTAATTAGAGTCAATTATTCCATCACATTAAATCTTAGTTTTCTTTCTCATGGATAATTTATATATTTTTTGCTCTTTGCCACTTATTTCTTTTGAATATTAGAGTTTTAATAATTGGTTGAGTTAATAGATTAGAGATATAATTTGAAATAAATTGAGAAAATGCAAAATTGAATTAGAATAACAATAGACCGTTGTACACAAGATATAATAATTACTTTTTTAGCTCAGGATTTCCAGGTTTCATCCTTCCATGTTCATTGTCAAGATCTCACTCACGTGTTACATAGGTGAGAGATGATGAGCACAACCATCATAGATTATAAGCTTAACAATGTCTCAGCGACTGACGATGGGTTAATATACTATACAAGATGTATTTTCCACAATGTGTGTATATATGGTTAGGCTGTGGAGTTTTATTGCATATTAACAAAATTTATAACCAGTAATGGAATTTGAATTTATAATATTAATGCTAGATTCACTCTTACATATTATAGCTGAAGTAATGGATAAAATTAAATATATAGTGAGGACTATAAATAATAATATTATTAATTTTCGTATTAAATTCCAATAATGCTATTAAAATTTTGTGCTATCTATTCCAGTAATTTTACATCAGACATTACAGTTTAGAAGATATATGTACTTTACCTATTATAAATAGGCGCACATTTGTAATTAAAATTGAGATTTATACCGATATTTTTATTGCATCACGCAATAATTACTAGCCATCGTCAGTCACTTTCAGGAAAATGATATGTAAATTAGCATGCAAGTTGTCTGCCAAACTTAGGTGTTAAATGAAATTGCCACAGGTGAGAAAACTCGTCTCTAGCTTTACCTATCGATTTTTCGAATTTCATGGTCACGGCCACGAAGTGGATTTCGAAACGAACGTACACATATTACACGAGTATGCATATTACGAATAGGCAACGATCGCCTATGATCGTTTGTCATTTCCGTGTATCTGAATCAGCTTCCTCGATTTATATTTCTATTTCACTGTCGTAAGTTATATTTTAGTTTTCGATCAAAAAGTCTCGAGCCCAGATATAAGTTTCAGCGAGCATTGCGCTCGAAGAAAGAAGAGGCTACAAGCTGAAGAGGCTCGGCATATTGCCATTCAAGAGAGCAACTACTAATGATTTCCCATCCTCTGGCTCACCTAGAGCATGGGTAGTCATTCTTGTTACTATTTTGTTACTATGCTCGCTTTTAGTATTTGTAGTCGTAGTAAGTTTTCTTTGACTGATGTACGAGTCAGTTTACTGTCATATTAGTCACTTTTTTTTTACTAATAGATTACTTTAGATTACTGTCACTTAATTTTTTACTAATATTAGGTAGTTTGAATTTTGTATTTTCTATTAAAGTCGCGAATAAACGTTAATTTCTATTTAAATTGTGATAATTTCGCGATTTCGATGTAAATTAGTGTTGCGATAAAATGATGAATTTGACAGAATTTCGTGGAAAATATAGCTGTCCGTAAATGTATGCATATTCCTACCGCGTAAACATCGTTTCACGTACTACTACTTCAAATTTACAAGCAACACGATTTTCCAGTTAAACAAGTTAACATACAAACAAACACCTACCATACGAATAAGCTTCCAATTTACTCGTTGAACAATAATCACATTTTCCGCTTTTTGGCTAGAAGCAATGTTCGGTTTCAATGCAATATCCGTGGTAGTTCCTGTAGCAACAAATCCATTCCATCTAACGATTGGCACTCAAAAGCGACTACAGTTTTTTCCTCTCGCGTTACAATCGATACTTAATCACTCCATTTCATCCGTATAAATATACATCCGTGTTTTCCACTGTCTAAATGCTTTCGAGCTCGTTCGTTGACGCAAACACGGCCAAGTTTCACGGTGTTTTGCACGATCCACCTGCGCGTGTTCGCCCTTAAGCCCCGGAACGTGACAATGAGTATTTGCGGTCGCGCTGCTGCTTCGCGAGAGCGTGATCAGATTAAACGCCGCGTGGATTTTATGGCTGAGCCGTGAACGATTTACGGTAATCGATTAATTAGTCTTATTCCGGGACTTTCCGATGATCAGCTTCTCTAGATTTGTGTCAATGATGGGCTGGATGCTGCTTTAGCTCCGCTAATTGCTGTTGACTGATAAACCCTTGTCGCGATACAGAACTTGATAAGTAAGATTCTGCTTAACATATGAAGAGGATCCGGCGAATTTTTGTTACAAGTTTGTTTTTAATAAATTTTGTGAATTTTCAAGTATGCTATATTGCAATATGGAGCTGTATTAAACAATAAGAAATCTTAGATAGTTGCAAAAATGTAACGAAAGTAAGCAAGCTTTGGAATCTTCCATACGTGTTCTTCGAATTTTGATTCAATTTTTGCTATCCAAATGAAATTATTTTACAATTTTTTGAAGGTACATTAAAACTCCTTTAAATCAAGAGACCCTTAGTTATTCCGAAGAAATATAATAATAGAGGGTTTCCATATTTATTCGTAGAAATAGCTTTGATTGAATTTCCATTCTCCAGGCAATATTATTTCACAATTGAATTAATTTGCGAAATATAATAAGTTTTTCTTTAAACCACAATAAATTTCAACTTGTTTCAAAAAACTGACAGAAAAACGAAGCTTTAAAATCCCCAAACTATGCATTTCGCGGAACGTCTTTGACCCAATTTCCACTCACGAAACATCACAGTAAGAAGGAGAGTTATCCAAGCAATTCAGAGAAGCGTGCAAGACGAAAGATTATCCAGCCACTGTAAACCATTCGTGGTTAGGAAAAAGGTAGATATAAACTCAGTGAAAAAAAGAGAAAAGAATAACACGATAACGTGGTTTGCACGCGATAGTTTTAACGACCGCGGGGGGTTCGGCCGAATTTTATTAAAGAACACTCATCGTTGGCCAACGAAGGGGTTATGCATATGCATGAGGGTGCGTTCGCGCGACGAACATGTTTATTGTAATACTGACATAGAGCGCGCGAAATTAGTGCGGGTTAAGGCGACATTTCCATTCCTGCGATGGAATATGCATGAGAAAATGCATCGTAACATCTGCGCGGAACGTTGTTGCACTGGGTCAGCCGAGCTTAGACGGCCAGGGAAATATTTCATGCTGTCGAGTGGGACCCTCGGCCGACTCGCGTGGTCATAGTCCGTGAACGTAACTGTTTTCGCTTATGCACTTTGCCAACGGCCGTTCTCCGACCCTGTGAAGAGATGGAGAGTTGTGACGATGAAGTATTCAAACGGGAGGCCGGAAGTATCTTCCCTCGGTTTCCGCGTTTTCTGAAAATTGGATTCGCGAGACCGTTCCACTACCTTTTGCTCACGATTTTTCTCGGACCTTTCTCGGGATATAGCCCTGGCTTCAGTATTATGCAACTTTAAAAGGCTAAGCTAGTAGGCAGAGATTTTCAGAAAGAAGAATATTACCTCGTAAGAATTATATAGCGGAGTTTCGTTTGTCTGGATTAGAATAAAGAATTTGTGTTGTTGGGATGAGTAGAAGAAAGGCATCTACGAAATTGTCGATTCTACCATATATGCAAAAACTAATTCTAAAAATGGGTTATTTTAAAATCCTTCCTTTAATAGCGAACAGTATTTCTATCGTTATTAAAGAGTATTAGATTATAGGAAACTCTTCGTATTTTACTCTCCTTTCATATTGGACCGAAATGCAGGATGTTTGCGCCTATTCAGAAATACAAAGAACCTCAGTTTGCAGTGTCTGCCTTTCCTCATAAATTGGTAGGATAGAAGGTAGGAATTGAGAGAATATTGAACGATATTTTATATTTATTGGCATGCCTCGATAGGATGCATATAATCTTAAGAAAAACCAAAAGAAGAGTAACGCGATGCAATCGGAAGGAAACGAAAGTGTGGATGATCGAGTCTATCTTGCAGTGTCTATCTTTCAGCCACGGTGCAGGATATCGTTGGCTGCTTATATCCATGGCAGATGCGCCCGGTCGAATCTAGACGGAGACAGAGAACGAACAACGCGGAGCAGACGAGCAAAGAAAGGGGCCACTTCGTATGCAAATCCGACTCCGCCCTGAATAAAATATTAACCGACCAATCGAGGCGCGTGGCGGGGGTAGAAGCACGCGAGCCTCCCTCGACGAGTTCGTTTCCTTGCCGAGGTCGCTTCCTTTTTTTCATTACCTTTCGCGTAGGCATCATGCGTGCAAATGCACTTACACATACCAGGATCTGTATGTGTACACATAAAAGTACACACTAGCAAAAATTTCTTTTGCATCTCATTTTTTCGCTGGTGGCTCTTTACGGCTTCTTTCCTCGTCGTCATCCAGCTAACCAACGCTATACAACCTTCGTGTCGATGCTTCTTCTTCTTCGGTCTGTTCCCCGAGGT